TGAGCAAAAGAAACTCCACAGCCAGCAGGCAGCCAGGGGACCCAGGTCCTGCTGATGGTCCACTCGCTGCCCCCCTCCAGCATGCACCTCCTGGGGTAGGGACCAGCTCCGGCCACGCGAGAGCCCCGTGTGTGTGATGAGCGAGGGTAAGCACTCAGCTCCCATGGCCTTCTCTTTGTAGAGGCAGGAAGGGAGGGAAAAGGGCCAGATCCTCCCTGGGGTGTTTGCAGAGCACTGCTCAGGCAGGATGGGAGCAGGCTCCTGCTCAGCAATGCAGTGGTGGTCTCCAGGTGAGACATCCTCCCCTGCCTTGTCCAGGATGCAGCTGCAGGGCTTGGTGGGATATGGGGCTAGTGAGGAAGTAGCTGGGACAAAAAGAAAGATGTCCCCCTGTCCACCCAGCACCTGCAAGCACCTAGGGAGACACTTACCCATCTTCCTGCTGCCCCAGCTCAGCTGGCTCTCAGTGGGCCGTAAGCTCCCACGGAGGAGATGGGGACCACGCACACACCCTACATCAGCTTCCCGCAGCACACCGAAACCTAGGCCATGGTGCTCACCAGCATCCCCATCCCCTGCCTGTAGGGCATCTCCCATCACAGCCACCAGCTCCTGTGTCAAGGCTTCGGACCAGTGGAGGGCAAAAGGGCAAGCACATTTCTATTAATAGTGACGAAGCAGGCAGCGTGCGTGGTGAGGGGCACGAGGAGACCCTGCTGCACAGGAGAAGCGAGAGCAGCCGATCAGTGAGGTTTGTCACCCAGCATGGCAGGCGGGTGAGCTCATCAGCAACGCCTCGAGCGCCAGCTCTGAGCCGGGACGCACGAAGCATGGCGCGGGGCGAGCACTGAAGGCGCCTTTGTTTCCCCCCCAGCTGAGCTGTCCCCTCCGTCTCCCTTGTTAAACATCCTCCAAAATACAAGGGGGGGTGAGGGGGGGTTGTCAAAGAGGTCTGTGATCCCAGGAGGGCGCACGGCTCGCTGAGCTGAGCCTCTGCTCGGCGTTGTGGAGGAAGGGAAGGAATTCATTTCCTACGCTAGTTCGGCTCCCAGCCTAAATGAGGTTAATGGGGTGGCTGCAGGAAGCAAGGGGAGATCGCTCCAGGGTTGCTGCGTGGAGGGCAGCGGGTGCAGATGTGACCGACCCAAGGTCACTCGGCGAGCAAGGACTGGCACATTACTTCTGCAACAGCTGGCAGGAGCGAGTAGAGACCCTGCACCAGCCCGTGTCCGTGCCCACACTGCGGTGGGCAGGGGATCGGGCTCATGTGCCGGGGGTGGGCGCACGGGTGCTGGTGTCGGTGCACAAGCCCTGCCCTCAGGGCTGTGGCGACCGAGGTGTGAAACCAGGGAGCCTGGGGATGGAGGCAGCGGCAGGACATCAAAGGGCTCCTGGGGGGAAGGCGGCAGACAGAGTGGCCACAGTGACACAGCCGAGAAAGGACTCGGTGTTCCCCCGCCCATCAAGCCACCGCTTGCTCATGGGACACCTCCAGCTTCGCATCTGCCTCTGGCACTGACAAATGGGTCCCACCTGCTGGTTTCTTCTGGGGCTTCTCTTGCAACCGAAATCCTGCAGGATTGCACCGCTTCGCTGGGCTCAGGCTTCAGATGCAGGCATCTCGGGACAGGGAGCGACGCCAGCCTCCCCTCCTGCAAACTCATTCCTCTCCAGGTTTGCAGCCTGTCCCGCTGCCGCAGTGGAATGGGGAGCTGTCAGTGAGGCCTCTGAGCCTGGGAGGGCCAGGAGCTGTGGCAGCAGATGGCTTTAGCATTAGCTAACTCAGGCTGGATGGGCTGGGGGGACGCAGGGCAGCTCTGCTGGGATGCGGTGAGCCAGGGGACCAGCACCAGGACGCTGCTGGTGTTCAGAACAAGAGAGCAGTATTTCCTCTGCTGCCAAAGCCTGCCCTAGAAGCAGCACCAAGCACGACGCTGGCAGAGAAGCTGTGTCCCCTCCAGCACCCCACTGTCTGTCTCCACCTTGCACCCAGGCCAGCTCTATTTTTAGACCCCCTTTGGGGACCTGCTTCCACAGTGCGGAGATAAGGGTCTGGGCATAGTCTGCAGCTGCAGAACCCATCTCCCCCTCCCTGGCCTTTGCTCTGTCACCGGAGTGAAAGTCAGGTCTTGCTCCAGCAACCTGCAGAGATGAGGAAGAGGAGGAAGAGGAGGCTCTGGCCAAGCCAAAGCAGGAGTTTCCTGGAATACAGACCCAGCTTTTGCAGGGGGAAAGATAAGATAATGCATGTGGAGTTGTCACCCCAAGCAAAGCCAGTCTGCAGCCTGACAGAGAGCCCCAGGGAGGGGAGATGCTGTTTCACAGCACCGTAATGCTGTGAGGCTGCTGCAGTGAGAGATGCACGGGGACCCCCTGTCCTGCGGCCACAGCTCTCCTGTCCTCTGCCTGCCCCTGGACACGCTTCCTCCTGCGCCA